CATCACTAGTTTTTTGGCTCAGAATTTAGAGCATCAGTCCATAGTTCCATTCCCAATCAAAGTCACACATCTGCCTTGCAGGATTTATCCCCGGCCCTGGTTGCATATGTAAGGGAGGCTACCAATCAATAAGTCTCCCTAAGGTTGATGTTTCTCTTTCTCTCTCTCTCTCTTTTTCTCTCTTTTCTCTCTCTGTCCCCCCCATCTTTCTGGGTCTCTCTCCCCCTCTACCCTACTTACCACTCTCTCTCTAAAAATCTATTGAGATAATAATAATAAAATGATAATTAATAGAATTAAAATAATAAAAATAAAATTATACCAACAACTAAAGCACTATCTACAACACAGAATACAGTTAAAATATTTCCAAGTAAACACAGTAAAATATTTCCAAGTTTTTGGACATTTGCTAAAGTCAAAATTAGTAAAATAATCTGTTTGTAAATTAAAACTTTTTGATGTCCATAAATGTAGATACGAAGACATTGTGTGAGGGTTGGTTTGTTGGCAAGTTGGTGACATGTGAGGTTATGTTAGTGGAGGTGTATTTAGGGAGATTAGCAAAGGTGTTGCTAATCTTCCCTCCCCTTAGAAGAGACTAGCTCTATAGAGAGCACTCAAATCCCATCACCTGGAAAAAATGAATGTGTCTTCAGGGACTCCATATAAGGAGCCAAACTCACTGTTTCCAGGGAGCGTGCTTGGAGCTTACCTGGTCTGGGAGACTTTTGAGAGCTACTCCCACCATATTTGGCAAGCTTGATCCCTGAGCGGGACCTCTTTGTACTAATACTTCTTGAGCAAGCAGTGGTGAGTTTAATTTACCAGCAAATTGAGGTTGTTTTTACAAAATCACATTGTTTGCTGACTTAGTAAAAATGATTCCATTAATGATTTGTTTGGTGTTTTGAAATTAATATGATGACTCATATTAGTTCTCTTATTTTATTAATCCTTCGTAGTTCCTAGGACTCAGAAAAGTGGCCAAATACCCTGTGGTTTTGTATACAGTTGTAGATTCTAAAAACATTTAGAAGTATTTGATTCTATATGTAGTTACACATCACAACCTACTTGAAACATGATGAATGCTTGTGTACACAAGAGAGGTGCTATTCTATGTTTAGCCAGATAAGCACTCAATGATTTGAAAATATAGTTACATGTTTCAATATTTCACTTTGAAGTAAAATAAATGTTTCTTAAGAAACAGAGTTTTATGACTTAAAGTTAAATTCAGGATAGTCCAGTGGTCTTCCCACATATCCATTAACCCAGCTATATCATCTTAGCAATTCTTCCGATAGAATTGTCCACAATCAAGAATATGCATTAGGGATGCATTTTGTAGTATTTTCAGTAGCTAAATAAAGAAATAAGTAAATAGAAAATGATTGTTCTGAAATATATGTTGCCATTTAATGACATATACTACATGTTTTTAGTCTTATTCAACTGACAATATTTTATAGTTTAGTTTGATATCTTGTATGATTTTAACTAAAGGGTTTTATTAATCATCTAAAGCAAATGTTTTCTTCAGCATGCATAGAAATCCATAGTACTGAATGATATGAAAGTAAAAATAACAAACAAACAAAAAAACCCCCAAACCTCTCACTGTGATCAATCAAGATCACAGTGAGTGACCTTAGAGGCTAAAATTTCAATTTATTGCTAATGTAATCAGAAATACTTATTAACATTATCAATGCATTGTTACATACGTCCAGGGCATTTACTCTGTGGATGGTTTGCCATGGTAAACTAGAATGGAACAAGGAGACCTATTCTTATATTTCTTAAATTTAAGATAATATTAACTTATGATAGCTTTTTGATGTGCCAACTTGGTGAGGCAGAACTACAAGGACAAAAATGAGGGCAGCAATATTTTTTTAAATTTTTTAATTTTTTTAACACACATACCTCTTGCCTCGTTATTCAATCAAAGGCTAAACTACTTGATACTGTGAGGAGACAGCAGGTGTAACTGAAGTCCCTTATTTTGACTATACGCTAATGAAATTCTCAAGTCCTAACTTCATCAGTGAAAGCCCTTTAAGGAAAGGCATAGACAATCCTTGAACAACACTCCAAACATCAAATCAGTCAGTATTGTTCCAGAAATGCCTCACTGACAGTGACAAATGTTTTGTCCCATAACCATTGGGTTCCAGCCTGCTGGTGATTTCTCATCCCGACTTACTCCACCACAGATCTCACACTTGCTTACCTAGCCCCTATGATCATGTAAGCCAGATCTTTGTAATAAATCTGTACATAGATCCATATTACTGGTTCTGCTTCTGGGGTTGATAGATAGATCCTTCTTCACTGCTGAGACAGTCTTGACCATAAATCTTGTGGTCCATTGGCAAAGAATTCTTACCTGGGAAATATTAGGCCCTGCCCAGTGAGGTTCAGTTGGCTGGGCATCATTCCATGCACCAAAAGGTTTCTGATTTCATTCACAGATGTGCCAGGGTTTCTGGCTCAATACCAGGTAGTGGGTGTGGAGGAGCCAGCCAGGAAATGTTTCTCTCTCTCCCTCTCTGCCTTCCTCTCTTTTTGAAAATCAATAAAAAATATATTTTAAAACAGAAAATATTAGATAGCTCCTTCCCAAATTTCCTTCCTTTATTTCATTTTTCATATAAAAACTCATAGATATAACATACCAAGAAAAATACTGACAGTCCTTCCTCTTTATTTGCAAGTTCTACAGTTGCAAATTTGCTTAGTTATTAAAACTTATTTGTAGTCCTGTAACTAATACTCATGGTGTTTTCTTAGCCATTCTTGGACTTGCACTGAGAAAGAGAAATTTGAGTTCTGCCAGTTGAAAGTTTCAAACAGAATTTGAATTAGAAGAAGCTCACAGAAGTGTCTTTTTCAGGGTATATTATGCCAAGTTTTTGGCATTTTGGTGCTGTTTGTTGCTGAAATAACTGTTTAAAATGACCCCCAGCCTTAGTATCAAAGCACTTGGCTATGCTTTATGGAGAAAATGTATCTGTTAGATAAGTATCCTTAAAGAATGAGCTCTAGAGTTATTGGCCATGAATTCAATATTAATATATACATAATGTATAATAACTAAGATGTCTTTTAACCAAGGTTATGTACTACTAACAAATGGATGGGCATGCTATGACCAGAGGCTGGAAGGAGACTAACTCTGCATTTCCACAGGGAATAATGCTTCAGTACTTGCTAATAAAGTGTTTGTGCCACTTTGTAGAACATGAATGGGATTTTTACTATGTGTGTAATATCATCTGTCACTTTATTTTATTTTTTTTTTAAATATATTTTATTGATTTTTCACAGAAAGGAAGGGAGAAAGATAGAGAGCCAGAAACGTCGATGAGAGAGAAACATCGACCAGCTGCCTCTTGCACACCCCCTACCGGGGATGTGCCCACAACCAATGCACATGCCCCTGACCGGAATCGAACCTGGGACCTTTCAGTCCGCAGACCGACGCTCTACCACTGAGCCAAACCGGTTTCGGCTCATCTGTCACTTTAGAAATGAAGTAATTTGTTTTTAGAATGCCATGAAGAATCTACACTTATATAGATAATAAAACTAATAGATTATCCAATAGAACAACGAGCAATTTAATAAAGAGATTATTTATAGAGAAGAAAAAGAACAAAAAAATCAAGAAAAGGTGCTAACATTGATTAACAATGGGAAGAAAGAAATTGGAATCAAAAGAATTATGTTTTATGCATGAGACTGACAAACTTTTGTAAATTTGATAATAGTTCCCAAGTATTGGATAATTTATGATTTCTCTTAGGAGTTGGAAAGGGACAGCATTGGGATCTTTAGGGAGTGTTCCCTATTGGTTTGGCTTTGTGGATAGAATGTTGGCCCATGGACTGAAGGTCCTGGGTTTAATTCTGATCAAGGGCATGTACCTCTGTTGCAGACTCCATCGCTGGCACTGTTCTGGGCATGTGCATGAGGCAACCAATCAATCAATGAGTTTCTCTCACATCCATGTTTCTCTCTCTCTAAAAATCAATGAAAAAATATCCTGGGTGAGGATTAAGGAAACAAAACAAAATAAAAGATACTTCTAAGAGAAAAAAATAAAATAAATGAAAAGTCAACTCCTAGTAATGTGACAGTAAAGTTTGTAGCTGTGAATAATTAAATATATTTTAGTTTAAAATTAATCTACTTTTAAAAGTTAAAAAAACAAGAAAAATGCTTATTTAAATTTTTAGCCTATATTTTTATACCAGAAATATGGATTATAGAACATTATAGAGAATAGTACTTCTATTCTCTATAATAGTACTTCTAAAAAGAATAGTACTTCTAAAAAGAACATTCATTTTACTGTTGTAGTAATAATATATATACATTTTAAAAATATTTCAGTTCAGAGTTTAAATAAAAGTTAATTTAATCCTCAAGAATTCAAAAAAGGCCAATTTCTTTCATAATTTCTTTTCTAATAAATCTCCATTTGTTCAATTTGTGTTTGTTTGTTTCCTTATTTGTTTGTTTTAAAGGATAGAGCAGGTTTTTTTGAGCTTCTCTCTCAAGTCATTTTATAGAACAATTTTGGCCATCTTCTCAGATTCATTGGCTAAATAGATTTGTGGGATAAATTTCACACTTCCGTATTTAATAACAAGTTATTGAAAAGAAGAATAGGTACAATTCTGATGATTTAAAACAATTAAAACCAGTAATAAATGCTATATCTCACGTCCTATAAATGGATACTTGCACACATTTGTATTTGGATAAGGACTAGGAACTGAATGTGCAAGATTATGTGAGTCATCTTGTGAGAACCTTATCTGTGGTAAAGCCCAAGGATTCTTTCTAAGCTCCAGATTTTCATCTGTGTCATGGCATAAATAGTTTGTTTGCTTTAGTGAGTATTGCAAAGAGAAAAACATATGGACATCACTACCCTCATATAACCCAGGCCCAGAAATGAGCTGTTTCTAATTCTTCCCAGAAACATGGATCCCAGCATCTTGCAAATCTTCCAGAATGAACTCATCTGCTTCGATTGCAGGAACTACTTTTTAGACCCCATCACCACAGACCATGGGCACAGCATTTGCAGGCCCTGTTTCTACCTCAGCTGGCCGGACAGTTCAGTTATTGCTCACAGTTCTGAATGTCAGGAAGAAATACAGAATTTATTCCTGAGAAACTTTCGCACAAATGTCACTCTGAAGGAAATTGTTCTCATTGTCCAACGAGCCCATCTGGGGCAATTCCTGTGCTCTAGGGACAATAGGTGTGGGATACACATGGAGGCAAAGCAGATCTTCTGTGAGGACCAGAGGAGCCTGCTCTGTTTGCACTGTTCTACCTCCCAGGAGCATGAGGCTCACAGACACTGTTCAGTAGAAGAGGAAGTTGAGCAACTCAGGGTAAGTGATGCCCCTGAGGACCCACTTCTGTAAAGTGGGTATGAAATTCCTGTGGGTCTGTTTCCTTGAGGATGGGATTACTCCATCCAGGTGTTCCTTTCAGAATTTCTGCCTTGGACTTCCTTAGTGTAAAGCCTCCCAGTTTTCACAAATATGTGATGTAAACAAGGGAACTCAACGGCTCTGATTTATCACTCTGGGGGCTCTCCTTTTATGAGGGCTAAATGTTACATTCTCCTCTTCATTGGATCTAATTAACCCTTGTGCATCTTTTGCAGGAGAAACTCCTCAGGACAATGTCCTCTTTATGGGAGAATTACTGTAAAAGTAACAGAAAGTTGAATGTGGAAACTGTCACAGTCAGATCTTGGGAGGTTGGTATTTGCATTTCTCCAACCTGCAGCATGAACTTGGGGTAGTTGGATGAGTAACTTTAAAATAGTAACTTCCTCTGAAACTATAGTGTTTTCTGGGACTCAATATGGGAAGTGTGATCAACAGGAAAAGGGTATTTTCCCTCCATAGACAGATAGTTGGGCTCTTAGTCAGGGTTTCTAACAAAATGACAGCTGCCACACAAAGCATGCTGGTTTGTTCCAAGGATTAACAATATTTATCACTTCTACACCAAGAACCACAAAGGACTGGGCCATTTCACAGTGTGCCATATGTGGAGGGTGGGGGTAAATTCTGGGCTTAGGAGACATTTGGCAGCCATTGAAAATTTAAGTGAAGCATCTGAGGCAGTATAAACATTAATGTGAATACTGTTGGAAAAGTAGTATTTGAAAACAGATGGAAAATTTCAGAGAGAATATCTAATATCTAATCCAATCCAGGGAAACCCTGAACTTATACCAAGTAATCAAATTTAAATCTATATATATAAACAAATAAGAAACTGAAAGACCGAACAACCAAATGACCAGTCACCCTGTGGCTATCAGGCCCATTGACCACCAAAAGGAAGATGCTCAATGCAGGAGCTGCCTGCTGGTGGTTATTGTGCTCCTATAGACAACCTCCTGTGGCTGGCCAGCCTCCCGAGGTCTTTCCTCCTGGCTGGCTGGCCAACCTCCTGTGGTCCCTACCCCCAGTTGATCAACAACCTGTGGTTCCTCCCCAAATCCAAGCGGACCACCCCATAATCAACCTTGATGGAAAGATGGTTGCCAACCTCCCACAGTTTCTCCCACCTACTGGCCAGCTCCCCTGATTGACCCCTTTCAGTGGCCAGGCCTAGGGACCCCACCCATGCATGAATTCATGAGCCTCTAGTAATATATAATGTCTGAGGAGAAAAGTGACAAGATATAAGGGATATACATAAATATGCCAAATATAGATGCTGGTATCTAAATAGAGGGAGACCTTTGAACACTTTAGGAGAATTTAAGAATAACTGATTTCCTCAATATGGATGGTTATTTTGAAGGTGTGATATCTAATATGAATTCACTCAACACATATTTCATAAGCACCTTGTCTGTATTAAATATTGATATAGAAAATAGAGCAGTAAGCAAAGTAGAAACTATCCTTGCCCTGATAAAGCTTACACTCTAAATCAAAGGGTGAATGGTCAACATGTATATAGGTATAATACATAATGAGTAATAAGTTCTTTATAGAATAATAAAGTGGTAAGGAGAAAGAGGAGTGCAGGAGAGTAGGAACTGCAGATGAGAGTTTGAGTTCTAAAAAGGATCAATCATCAGAGAATACCTCACTGAAAATTTCACCTTATGAAAAAGATCTCTGAAAAGGATGGTAAACGTAGGGGCATGTAGAGAGAGAATTCTAGATGGAGAAAATAGCACAGGTGAATATAGTGGGAGCCCTTGAAAAGCCATACAGATCAGAGGGGGCATCAGAGTGAAATATAAAGAGAATGAAAAGGAACTAAAATCAAAGAGATAATGGAATTCAGATCGTCCATGAAACCTCCTCAGGATAGGATTAAGCTGGATGAAATACAAGGGATAAGCATATCAGTCTGAGGTCACAGCATGAAAAAGGTGTTGAAGTAATCTCCAAATTTCAGGAATCGGACTAAACAGAGAATCCCTAATCCAATTAATATAAATTTAAACTGCATGTTTTATAAATGAACTGTGTTGCCTTCTCACACATATTGCCTGGAAGATAGAAATCACACATTTGGTGTGTGTGTTTTTAATGATTATCTTATCAAAGGCTTCATTATGAATGAATTGGATATAATTGATGTTTAAAAATATATGAAAGAGGAATGCGAAAATGTGAATCCTGAGACTAGACAAGATTGAGGGGTAATTTTAAATATAATTGATCTTTATATGGCAATGAGATTCAGTAGGAGATGAATGAAAGGGTTCATGTTTTAACTAACTCCATGTCATTGCAGATTTATGTGAACTCAAAGAGGGAAGGGATCAGAGCTGAATATGATAATTTGCCTCCATCTCGCTATATGGAAGAGCTACATTATATAGAGATATTGCAAAGGGAAGGCAAGGAGATTTTTGACCAACTCAAGGAGAGTGAAGCCAGGATGGCACACAAGACGGAGCTTTTAAGAGGAATGTATACAGAGCTGAAGGAAATGTGCCATAAACCAGGTGTAGAGCTGCTCCTGGTAAGAGATCAGAGGTGGGGTGTTGAACATTCACGTGCACTGGCATTCCTTCAGCAGAAAGCCATCTCCTCTTTTATGTCATTTCTTTCCAAAAACCTGTTTTCATTTACTTTGTTGGGAGGGTATTGCTCCTCAAAGGAACTCCGCAAAATAAAGATCCAGATACCTCCTACATTATCCATAAGAAACAGCACTCTGTGAGATGGTAAAAGAATCCTGAGTTAGATTCCCCCTCTAAAAGTCAATGATATATTTTGGCTTTGTGAAAGGCACAAAATGGTAGGGGGGTTATTGATATTGAGGCTAATTATAGGCATGGCAATATGGGGAGATTTGGGGTTCTACACTTGCATTGCTGTCATTTTGGGTGCACCCAAATTAGAAATAGAAGACACTGATACTTAATCATGGTTACAGGAGCACACAGGGACTCCCCAGCCTCCCCCCCCCCCTTTAGCTGCCCATGGAAAGTCTCCAGAAATCAGTCTCCAGCAGAACATGAATTTAGGGCAATATGGTAAACAAGAGGGAATAAATAGATGTTTCCCAGGAAGAAACAGAGTAAGGAAATAATTACTTCTGGCACTATCTCAAAAGTTCCCACCAGGGTGCTGGAGGGACTGAGCAAAAAATAAGAGAAAGAGCAAAAAATAAGATAAAAAACTAAATGAAAAAAATAATCTCCCGCTGGACCTAGTGGAAGAGTCATTAGTAAAAAACACTAAACATTTCTATTTTTCTCCACAGAATTTTGGAGACATATTGCACAGGTGAGTCTGTACCTTGATACCAGCTGGTGCTCTTTCAGTTTTTACAGACATCAGGCAGGATATGCTAAAGTGAAGGCAGAACTTACTGGGATCTTGTTTGAATTTTTTCCCTGTATCTATCTTCCCCTCCCCAACTCCATGTAGATGTCTCTTTTCATTGTGATACTGAGTGATTGCATTCAGCAGTTTCTATGGACAAATTGCAAAGAACACCCCCCCCCAAAAAAAAATACTGAATTAAGGAAACTCCTTCACTCCCAATATCTTTTTTTAGTTCTCAAAATCCTACATATATGAAGAAGATGCTAAGTTTTCTGAGTGATGAGAAAGTCAAATATCTTAGAGTCAGAGCTAGTGGAATCTGAGGTGCTAGGGTAGAGGGAATTCCCCGCAGTGAGAAAGACCTGGTAGCTTGTTGTTCTATTCATAGAAGTTGACAGTCCTGAAAAACAGATTAAACAAATTCTCTAAGAGAATGATGTGAGGCCCTTAGAATCTTTTTCCACCAGAAAGCAAATTCCCTCTGCCTGGGAAAAGTTTCACAGCCTCTATGTTGAGAGTGTGCACTAGGCCAACTAGTCTTCAGAGAACCCCATCATTTCCAGATGGAGAGCATGTCAGTGGAATCCAGAATTTCCCTCTTGAAGATCCTCAAGGACATAAGAAACTCAGGATCTTTACAAATTCCTGGACAAGATGAAAAGGGTTAGAATGAATTCTGGTTCAAATGGACTTTCCATTAGACTTGAAAATTAAGGAACTATGAAGAAGAATTATTTGGCAAAGTGGATTTATTTAAATCTACTAATTATTCAAAATAATGTATTTAAATAATTCTATTGAAATATCTTATACATGAAAATAGAGGTTTTGTTTGTTGACTGTAAACACTGTAACTTCCTCTTCCTTCTTGCAGGAGTGAGGCAGTGTGTGTGCACATGCCACAGCCTGTGAAAGCAGAGCTCACTGCAGTGACCATCCCAGGGATGGTTGCAAGGTTCGAATTGTTCAAAGGTAATTGCAGGCCCATGGGAAATATTCCCATTATCTATCATGTGTTGTTAGGGCCATGCAGATAATCTGCCCTCTATTACTGTGTTTCCCTGAAAATAAGACATCCTCCGAAAATAAGATCTACTTACAGGTTTCCTTCTGAGTGAAATATAAGGCATCCCCCCAAAAATAAGGCCCCCCTAGGCTAAACATGAGAGATTTGGTCCACTGATTCTGAAAGAAATGGAGTCACAAGAAATTCACCAGGAAATTCAGGAATTGGATTGTTATGATGATGTTCCAGAAGATGATGACATGATTGTCATTGAATAAATGAGTAAATTCTTGATACTGTAGGATTCAGTTTATCTGGTTTGTGTTGACAACTACCGTACTACTGTACCATATACAGGTAATACATTTCCTTTATTTTCATTTAACAATAAATGTGTATCGTATTCTTCTTCATGGAAAAATAAGACATCCGCTGAAAATAAGACCTAGTGCATCTTTGGGAGCAAAAATTAATATAAGACAATGTCTTATTTTCGGGGAAACAGGGTATTAAGTGTTACTATTTTCAGACATTTGGCTGTATAATCATTTCAGTACATCCCTTCCAAAATGATGATGTGATTATTTAGAAGAAATGTTCCTCTGATTCTAATTTTTTACAATGGAAAACAATTCAAAGAATATTAGCATTGGCCATTTGCTATGAAAAGTGAATTTGGAGACATGAGTCTTTTTGTTCTTAATCCTCACCCAAGAAAACATACACAATTTTTTTTTAATTGACTGAAGAGCGGCATGGAGAGGAATAGTGAGATAGAAACATCAATGATGAGAGAGAATTATTGATCAGCTGCCTTCTGCATAACTCCTACTGGGGATCAAGCCCAGAACCCAGACATGTGCCCTGACCAGCAATGGAACCTTGACCTCCTAGTTCATATGTCAAGACACAAATACTGAGTCACATGGGCTGAGCTAAGGATATATTTTTTACATTGATTTTTAAAGACAGTAGAAGGGAGAGAGAGGGACACCATGTACACAGGCAGATGCAGGTGCAGGGGATGAAACTTGCAATCCAGGATGTGCCCTGGACTTGAATCAAACCTTTTATTCTAAGTTGGCGAGCCAACACTCTGACCATTTAGTCACACTACCCAGGGTGAGATGAGTCTTATATTTTATTCTACACATTTGAATTTCAAAAAAATATCCAAATTTCTGTTAGGGATCTGTTTGTTCTACATATGTATGGGTCCTTTATTAAATGTGACAACCAACATTGCTCATATTACTGAGACCTCATAATAAAGCAACATCTTGAAAGAGCAAATTTGCCTCAGGACTTTTATCTGCAATGTGTCCACATGATTTTTTTTTTTTTTTCTTTTTGCAGAGATTGTTATCCTACGGCATGCAAGAACTCACGGTCATGTCTTTCTAGACGGAAGTTTGATATGTCTGGATGTTGGATGTGGTCCTCTAGATGAACTGTGTATCACCTCAAAATATGAGTGTTTTCTTAACTGGGGTGTTCAGACTTTTACCATTGGGAGACATTACTGGGAGATAGATGTGGGAGACACTTGGAATTGGGCTGTAGGAGTCTGCTGTGATGAGTGGGTACAGAAGTATATACATTTCCATAAGGCATTCTATCTTCTTGGCTGTGCTAAAACAGACATGCACCACAGTGTCTTCACCACCTCCCCACCTGTACTGCAATATGTGCCCAAACCTATTGGCCAAGTAGGGGTATTCCTGGATTATGAAGGTGGAAGTGTGACCTTTGTAAACGTAGCACAAACTTCCCTTATATGTAGAATCTCCCATTGCTCTTTCTCTCCCTGTCTCAGGCCTATCTTTTGCTGCAGTCACTTCAATTAGAAATACATTAGGAATTTTTCAATATTCTGGGGAACTCCAGTATCTATGGAAGGCATTTTCCTGGTCACTATCAAATAAGACAAATATGTTACATGATTTTGTTTCTAATTTCCTTTTATGTCATGAATACCTATTTACTGTATTATTAAATATAACCTTCAAAACATATGTATTGGTTTGTGCTTGATTCAGTTTAGGAAAATCATCACCCATGATGCATTTGTTTTATTTGTCAACTGTCATGAGGAAGTATAACTAGAGATGACTGGAAAGGGTGTCTAGAAAGGTAAAATTCAATGCAAGAGAGAAGGCATCATTCATTCTCTTCCCAAACAGACATGGTTGTAGAGACACAGTGGCAAAAATGTAAAATGCACACACATGCATTCCAACGGCAATTTAAAAATAATTTTCTAATTTTTCTTCAGCTAACTATATTCTATGTGTTCTTCTCTCATTTTAATAATCCATAGTTTGAAGCAACATTACTTAATGACCTGTGCTATGCATTCCTTTGTAATTCTCACCACAGTGATATATCAGTGTTATTTGTACTCTCTATTAGATGGAAATTCACAGGATGATCAGACCAGTACTCTCCTCATCTTCCCTAGTATCTCCATCTAGAGATACATTTATTCATATGCGATACTGTCTATGCATGAAGTACTTAATGCTATATCATAATCTTCATAACTCCATATCCTCCCTGGCTTTCCCTCTATTAATCTGTGAAGTACTGTGTCATTTCCTTACACCTGTCATCCAATTCACCCTCTCTACAGCTGTGTTTAGCCTGTTGATTAAACTCTTCAACAAGTATTTAGTCTTAATGATTGCATTAATAAATTCTATTTTTTCTTCAATAAGATAGGAACATTCTGCCAAAATTGTTAGTTATATGAATACTCAAATTGAAAATAAGGTTATATTTAAATAATTGGAACATTGAGCCTTCTGAAATATAACATTAGAGAACCTCCTTTAATTAAATCAATTATATGTAATGTATTTTGCATTATGTGCTAAGGTAACTAAGATTTTTTTACCTTCTTAACTAAATATCATTATTTATTACTCCTTTCATTAAATATATGCTGTGGCTCTTCCCTCACATTTGAAATGCTAGCAGGTGAAGAACACATGGGTTTTAAATAAAAAGCTTTTACCATATTTTAAATAAAAAGCTTTTACCATATTTTAACTTTAATATACAATGGTGGTTTTCATTATTACTGAAAAATGTTTCGTTTTCCTTAAAGATTATTATATTGCTTAATTTATAATGTACAAACTGTGCTTTCATAAAAACATACACAAATAAACATTAACTGAAAGCTTTCACCTTTCTCATCACTGGTGGTGTTTAATTCATGTTTTGGTCAAGTGTTTATGCTAATGTAATCCAGGAAAAGTACTGTCGTACTTTTAGTCTCATTAGATTTCTAAAAATAGTAATTTATTGTGCAAAAACGAAATAATGAAAATGCCAATCAGTATGTTTTTAACTGAAAGGTATTATCTGTAAACACCAAACAGCCATCATAGATGGCCCCACCCACAGACAGCCTCTCAGTAACCTGAGGCCTTTTTCAGTAACCGGGTCCACCTCTGGCTAGGACAATGAAACCCCTATCTACTACCCAGTAGCAGGTGACAGTGCTGAGAAGAAAGGGACACAAACCCAGGTTGACCCCTGGAGGATTTCCTGTGGTGGTTCTGCAGCCAGGAGCCATAGCCCCATGCCACCCAGAGACAGGAGTTGCAGGTGCCCAGTTGTTTGATGCTGGCTCCTCCCACTGCAGAACCCAGCAAAGGAACCTGAGCTTCATATTTCTCTGTGGAAATGCTGGTAGAGTTATTGTGTGTCCTTCTCTGAAGCCAATCATCACCACCACCACCACCACCAATAGTTTTGGTCCTTTTTCTCCTCCTGGTGCCTACCTTTCATATGCTGATGGGGATCTATTCCCTCCACCATCGCTAACTGCAGCAATGCTGTCCTGCATGCTGAGCTCTTCTGGCTACAATCCCAATGGTCCTTATTTTATGAGGACACTGTTTCCTTAAGAATGGTAGGTGCCTTATAGATGGAGCTGCTCTGGCTGCTGATCCTGGGGACTACAGGAGCCCTGTAAGCCCTCTCCCCTTCCTTGGGACTGAGTTGTGTCCATCTCACCACACTTCTCACTCAGTTGTGTCCATCTCACCACACTTCTCACTTAGGAAACCTGCTCAGAGGCCCCAGTCAGGCAGCCAGCGCAGGACCATCTCAGTCTGTATCAGGACAGCCCAGTGGTAACTTCAAAACCTTGAATCCACATATTATCTAATCCAACAGCATCGTCTCCTGCAATGTTTCCAATAAAATTTTTCACAAACAAGGATATTCTAGAAGGATGCATTTCGTAGCATTTTCAGTAGCTGAATAAATAAATAGGAAATAAATGTTCTGAAATCTAGGTTATCATTTTATAAAATATACCACATATTATTAACTCAAAATATAAAATTTTCTGTAATTACTTGTTTATTCCATGATATTTTATGTATTTTTAGTTAATACATTATATTAGTATTCTAAAACAAATGATTCCACACGAGGAGACAAACCAGTGCCACATAACTCACAATACTGAATGATATTAAATTAAAATTAAAATCTCACTGATGTCAGTCAGGTTCGCAGTTTGTGAGTCATCATAGAGGTCAAAATCTGACTTATTACCAATACAATCAGAGGAGTATATTATTATAATAAACAATTCACTGAGTTTATGAAAATCTAGGTAGGACATTCACTCCATAGATGACACTGCATGGTAACCTTGGACCTGAATTTGTTTTTCTTAAATATCATAGCATTTAATCAAGGATGTTTTCTGACTGCCAAGCTGGCCCAGCAGAAGGAGCATGATGTGGCTGAGGGGCAGCCATCTTGAATCTTATCCACACCTTCTCTTGGTTAGTTAATCCAATTAAGAGCCATGATGAAGGGATTTTACAGATATGAGCAAAGTCCCTTATGTTGATTTTTAAAAATGTTTTTTATTGATTTCAGAGAGGAAGAGAATGGAGGAGGGATACAAATATCAGAGATGACAGATAATCATTAATAAGCTGCCTCCTGCATGCCTCACTTTAGGGATCAATCCTACAATCAGGGCATGTATCCTGACCAGGAATTGAACAGTGACCACTAAGCTCTTAGGTAGATTTTAAACTAAAGAGCCCAAATCTGTTTATCTTCATAACTGCTGCCTGAGGGGCAGGATTTTAATTAAACCAACACCTAAGGACCCTCTGTATCCAGAGACCTTGGAGTGGTGCAGTGGAAGATCCCTTACACAACTCAGCACATATATCAGGTTTATTTGTGTGTGACAGCTGCCATTTTGTAAAATACATAAACTTTTTAAAGTGTAAAATGAGATCACTTTACAGTGAACCCTTGATTTTGAGGACCTTGATTTAATAGACTTAGAATTTAACAGACTAGGCTTCTGGGCTCTATGTCATATGTGAAAGTTAATACCTTGTTAGTTTTTTACATATTTTTATTGATTTTCAGAGAGGGAGAGAGAGACAGAAACATCAATGATGAGAATCATGGATTGGCTGCCTTCTGCTTGCCTCAAACTGGACCAGCAACCCACAAATATTTCCTTGTCCAGAATCAAACCTGGGACCCTTCAGTCCACAGGCCTATGCTTCAATCTACTGAGCCAAACTAGTTATGGCTGCAGCCTGTTAATTTTGAAATGCTTTAACAAATAATTGCTTATAATTATATTAACAGGTTGTTATTTTTTAAAACTAATTTACTGTCATTTTTAAAACATTTTAGTGAACAGGCTATATGTTGGAAAAAAACACTAGACATTTTGCTGACATAAATAAATACTAGATGTCTACAACTATAGTCAGCATACTTAAAGCCAGGGGTCCTAAACAATGTTCAGGAATGATTAGCACATGATCACACCCCTTCCTGAGCTGTTATTGGTTGGGCTGGCTGATGTTCCCACAGGTGCTAAGCCACTTCCCTGCTGGGTGCATTTGTTTACTCCCAGTGACTGTGAATACACACATTCTCTATACCTCTTAAGTATAAATTTAAAATTACCGTAATACATATAGAAAACTTTTCTGTTAAATCAAACTTTCCATACATAGTGGTTTTTTTTAATTTTCTTTTTTAAAATACTTACCTGAGGATATTCACCCATTGATATTTATTTATTTATTTATTTATTTATTTATTTATTTATGCATGTGCTCAGTTCCCAAAATATATTATTGGTTCTTTTAAAAAAATTTATATTGATCTTTTTTTTACAGAAAGGAAGGGAGAGGGATAGAGAGTTAGAAACATCCATGAGAGAGAAACATCAATCACCTACTCGTGCACACCCCCACCTGAGCATGTGCCTGCAACCAAGGTACATGCCCTTGAACGGAATCGAACCTGGGACCCTTCAGGCCTCAGGCCAATGATCTATCCACTGATCCAAACTGGTTAGGGCTATTCTATTGATTTTTAGAGTTGGAGAGAGAGGAAAAGACAGAGAGAAACATCAATGTCAGAGAAGCACATTGGTTGTTTGCCTCCTGCACACTCAAGACCAGGGCCCTGGCCTGGGAGAAGCCTGCAACTGAGGTAAATGCCCTTGACCAAGGGAAAGCAGGACCCATTGGTCTGCAAGCCAATGCTCAATCTACTGCATCAAAAAGGCTTGGGCTGTATACTAAGTTTTAATTACACAAACTTTTCTACATAGGTGAAAGCAGGTAAGCTAAAAGAATTTTATTTTTAATTTATAAACAGATCGGATGGATTATTTTGTTAATTATAAACTATAGAAAATGTCTAAAACCTTGAAAGTATTTTACTTGGAAATATTTTAACTATGTTCTGTTATGCACGAAGTGCTTTGTTTGTTGCTATAATTTATTATGATGATGATTATTATTATTAATATTATCATTACTTTTTAAAT